CCACACTAGAAGGCGGAAATATAGCGCTGATGGCTTTGAAATTTTCCATTAGGTTTCAGTTATGGTCAAGGACAACGTCTATAACTTTCGGTGATGATCAGATTATAATTATTGGATGAAGTGGACCGAATACTATTTTTTGTGTTTTTTTCGAGTCGATGCCAATAATAGGCCCAAAAAAAATCACAACACAACCCACGGGGAACGGAATCTGTACTGAATATGAATAGTAATATCGGAAAATATGTCAGATGTTGTTGACCTCTAATCGAGCTATTGGGAGCAAATATCACGAAATATTGCCCAAGTTCGAAATAAACATCCATAGAAAGATAGAGTTCCGTGGTAGTTGTGTAGAGTATCATATGGTCGGCCCCGTCCGATTAGACTGCTCCGCTCACTGGTTTAAAAATTATTTTTTAGAAGATCCATTAAGTCCATTTTTATACCCTTCATAAAGAAAACGAGATATACCCATAGTTCCTTTTGAGAATATGCATAAAATCACTTTCTGAGTCGATTTATGCATGTCCGTCCGTCTGTTGGTGTTAAATTTTAAACAAAGTACAGGTCGCATTTATAATCCGAATTGGATGAAATTTGGTACAGCTCCTTTATTTGGCCCGAGGACGAACCCTATTGATATTGGGAAAAATCGGTTCAAATTTAGATATAGCTCCCATATATATTTTCGTCCGAATGGCGCACTAAAGTCCCTGTATATCATTCGATTTGAACGAAATTCGGCATAACGTACTGAATTGAGCCTAGAATGATGTCTGCCAAGTTTCGATGAAAATCGGTTCAAATTTAGATAAAGTTTCGTCCGATTTAAGGTAATTGGTGCACCAAAGTCCCCATATATCTTTCGATTTGCACGAAATTTGGTATAGCGTACTGAATTGAGCCTAGAATGATGTCTATCAAGTTTCGTGAAAATCGATTAAGATCTACTTATAGCTCCCATATATATTTTCGTCCGATTTTATGTAAATGGTGCACCAAAGTCTCTATATATCTTTCGATTTGCACGAAATTTGGCATAGCGTACTGAATTGAGCCTAGAGTGTTGTCTGCCATGTTTGTTGAAAATCGGTCCAGATTTAGATAGAGCTCCCATATATATTTTCGTCCGATTTAAGGTAAATGGTGCACCAAAGTCCCCATATATCTTTCGATTTGTACGAAATTTGCCATAGGGTAGTAAATTGTGTGTGGAATGATGTCTGCAAAGTTTCGATGAAAATCGGTTCAAATTTAGATATTGCTCCCATATATATTTTCGTCCGATTTATGGTAAATGGTGCACCAAAGTCCCCATATATCTTTCGATTTGCACGAAATTTGCCATAGCATACTGAATTGAGTCTGGAATGATGTGTGCTGAGTTTCGTGAAAATCGGTTCAGAAATAGATATAGCTCCCATATATATATTTTCGTCAGATTTAATGTAAAAGGTGCATCAAAGTCCCTATATATCCTTCGATTTGCACGAAATTTGCCATAGCGTAGTGAATTGTGTATAGAATGATGTGTGCCAAGTTTCGTGCCAATATATGGCTGATGGGAACAAAACAAACTGAAATTTGTATAACCTAACCAGTGACAAGTTTCGTTGAAATCCGTCCGATTTCATCCAATAGTGGTGAAGGGTATCATATAGTCGGCCCCGCCCGACTTTACTAATTTCCTTAGTGGTTAGAAGATATACCAAGGCGTGGATTTTTAAAAAATATTTTTTTGAACATCCATCAATCAAGGCGTGGATTTTTAAAAAATATTTTTTGAACATCCATCAATCAAGGCGTGGATTTTTAAAAAAATATTTTTTAAAACATCCATCAATCAAGGCGTGGATTAAAAAAACAATATTTTTTTGAACATTCATCAAGGCGTGGATTTAAAAAAAAATTTTTTTTGAACATTCATCAAGGCGTGGATTTAAAAAAAATATTTTTTTGAACATTCATCAAGGCGTGGATTTAAAAAATATTTTTTTGAACATCCATCAATCAAGGAGTGGATTTAAAAAAAATATTTTTTTGAACATTCATCTAGGCGTGGATTTAAAAAAATATTTTTTTGAACATTCATCAAGGCTTGGATTTAAAAAAAATATTTTTTTGAAAATTCATCAAGGCGTGGATTTAAAAAAAAATATTTTTTCGAACATTCATCAAAGCGTGGATTTAAAAAAAATATTTTTTCGAACATTCATCAAAGCGTGGATTTAAAAAATATATTTTTTTTTGAACATTCTTCAAGGCGTGGATTTAAAAAATATTTTTTTGAACATTCATCAATCAAGGCGTGGATTTAAAAAAAATATTTTTTTGAACATCCATCAATCAAGGCGTGGATTTAAAAAAAAAAATTTTTTGAACATCCATCAATCAAGGCGTGGATTTAAAAAAAAATATATTTTTTTGAACATCCATCAATCAAGGAGTGGATTTTTAAAAAATATTTTTTTGAACATCCATCAATCAAGGCGTGGATTTTTAAAAAATATTTTTTTGAACATCCATCAATCAAGGCGTGGATTTTCAAAAATATATATTTTTAAAAGATCCATGAAGTGCTGGATTTTTTATAAAAATAATTTTTTTAATTTCTGGAAAAAATGGATTTTTTATAAAAATATTTTTTTTATTTCTGGAAAAAATGGATTTTTTATAAAAATCACTTTTTTTTAATTTCTGGAAAAAATGGATTTTTTATAAAAATCACTTTTTTTTAATTTCTGGAAAAAATTGATCTTTTATAAAAATATTTTTTTTTTAATTTCTGGAAAAATGGATTTTTTATAAAAATGTTTTTTTTTTAATTTCTGGAAAATAGTTTTTTTAAGGACTATTTTTCCAGAACATTAATTTCAATTTATTTTGTTTTTGTTTTTCCCAAAAAATCCTATGACTTTCCTAAGTTAATTAAAACAATTTGAGCGTATGCTTCTTTTCCAACATCTAAATACCATGCCAAGGACACAACTAATTTCCATAGTAATGTCCTTGTTGTTATTGTATGTCCTTTTTTCTCTCTCTCTAGTTTTTGGGTGGCTATTTGGACAAAAATTAAATTATTTCCAGTAATTTTTATGCTTTAACGACATTTCTTATTTTTCTTCTTCATTCTTTTATTTACAGAAAGTTTCCTGCATAACAAACTAACTAAAAACAGAAAAAAAGGAATTGTAACATTTACAAGGATAAAAAAAAACAACCACAGAAAAAAAAACAAAGCAACAAAAAGAAAAACGCAACACTAAAATAGAAAACAAGGAAAAACAGTACACCGATGTAGAAATTTAAAAACAACAACAACAAAAACAAAAAGTTAACAAAAAAGTTGTCTTACAAAAAACAAAAACACCAGACAACAACTGCAACAAACAGCCACCAACTAACTAACCGAAAACCAAAACTGAACTAAAAAAATATAGAAGGCAAATACCAGAGCCATAACAGAGGGCAGCTAACAAAGTTGAAACAAAAATAAAAAAATACAATCATCGTCCACAGACCTCAAGGGAGGTGGTCAGAACACCATAGAATTAGTATTCTCGAAAAAATATGAAAAATATTTAAATCCAAGACCGAAATTAAATTGAATTGAATTTCCCAAGGATGAATCCGCAGCCTGCAAGCAAATTACAAAATAAGCCAATAAATTTTAAGCATCGATAAATCAAAGATTAAGATCTTCTTTGCATTTGCCCAGTAGCGAATTTAACAAACAACAAAAAAACAACAACAAGACAACTACAGCCAAAAACCACCAAAGCAACTAGAACAACAACAACACCAAAACTAAAAACCGCCAAAATCTAAACTTTTGAAACTAAGCTTCCTTTTTTACAACCAACGCCACCCACCCACGCACTATCATTATAAAAAACCACAAACACACACACAGACAACCTCATATACACCAACGCCCCCTACAAAACCCATTTATCAACAACTGAAAAAGAAGATTTAAAGGGAGGAAAAAACTACGCAAAGCGGAAACAGGAAGTGGACTAAATCAACCACAAGCAGGCAGCCAAGCAACCAAACAACAACACCAACTGCAAGCATTTTTTTCTCTAGGATCTGGTCCCTCTCTCCCTCTCTCTACCCCCACGTATCTCTGAAACTGCAGCTAGCGTGGCAAAATGGCTTCACCACCCGAAAGTCCCATCGAGGAGATTGTCTACGAATTAGAAACAACACGAGTGCCTAAACCAATACCAGTTGCCCTGGAGGATTTGTGCCGTCAAACGAAATTTACAAAACAGGAAATACGTGTTATGTATCGAGGATTTAAAACGGTAAGTTTTTTTGCAGGACGATATGTGTAACCAAAAACAAATACAACGTACTTAAGCTAAGGAGACGATACACTTAGAATGTTATTAGGTCCTTTAGAAAACAGGACATTTGTTAATGGACACTTTTTCCCAAGGACTAACAGAGCCTAAGAGAGGATTTTTTAGACGGGTAATTTTTTGTAAGGACTGTCAGATCCTAGTAGTGGATTTTTTCAAGAATCCTAAGCGTGGATTTTTTAAAGAAAATTTTTCTTAAAGGACCAGCAGGGCCTTGGCGTGGATTTTTTAAAGAATATTTTCCTTAAAGGACCAGCAGGGCCTTGGCGTGGATTTTTTAAAGAATATTTTCCTTAAAGGACCAGCAGGGCCTTGGCGTGGATTTTTTAAAGAATATTTTCCTTAAAGGACCAGCAGGGCCTTGGCGTGGATTTTTTAAAGAATATTTTCCTTAAAGGACCAGCAGGGCTTTGGCGTGGATCTTTTAAAGAAAATTTTTCTTAAAGGACCGGCAGGGTCCTGCGTATGACTCTGCTTCTAACTTCACGACCTGTATAGTGAAAATTGGGTTAGGTGAGGTTTTGCAGGTCAATTGAAGAGTTCGACCATTACAACATGCAGGACAGATGACATTAATTCATGCCCAATGCGAATTGGGGCGGCTATACTACCCTAATTTCAATTGTGCAAAAACGATTTGATTTGTCTATGTAGCTGTTCACTTCTACTGCTTTCGGTGACAGGTGTTCTCCAATCATTGTATTCACCCTGTATTCTTTTTGAATTCCTTACTCAACTGCTTCAGGGTGCATTAACAGGCCTATGTTTTAGAGGCTCCATTTTTTGCCTTTGTTCCTCTTTCCTTAGATCGTGAAGATCCGTCCTTCGTTTGGCAGCTTTACATCTCTCTCACGATGAAGAATATCCTTCCTATCATATCTGAGCGGTGGCTGCCTATCCATTAGGTATTGGGTCGGATCGCTGATTCTGTAACACCCAATCAGATATTACATCGACAACATATACCATGTATATATAAATGCTGAGCAATGACACAGGAAATGTTCCAGCGGTTCACTGTCTTCCCCACACGCTATGCACATGCTGCTACCTTCACATTCAATCTTTAGTAGATGTTCCCTCAGGCTGAGGTGTCCCGTCAGAATACGCGTCAGTCGGCTTATTTCTTTTTTGTTTGGCGTTAGGATAGGATATACCTCTAAATAAGGTATATTTATCGGCTTCTATAATATTGCTTTTAGTTACTTGGGAACCTTAATCCCGCTCCTGACCTTATCGCAGACAGTAGTGACGTATGCGCACGACTTATAGAGACTATCGAATGCGAACTCTTAATCTTGAGGTATTTAGTTGTCGAAATTATGGACCCATCGGACTGCACTCTCAAAGATAGCCGCATCATTCTATGGAGTTTGGACTTCTTGTTACTGAATTTCACATACGAATGGCGCCCAATCATATATAGTTCATGATCCATTTTTTTACATTTTTGAACAAGGGTTTTCCATAATACCACCTCAGTTCAATTTTTATATTGCATTTCTTTTGTATTTCTCCATAACATTTCCAACCGATACTGTTGTAAGTTTTTGTTTTCCAAACTGCAATCGAATTGATATTCAAAACTTTGCAGTTTTATAATACATTCACTTGCTCGTTCGCTCGCTCGCTAGTTCGCATACATTTGATTCATGTACGTGCAACTTAGACGAGTTATATTTTCTGAAGAAATATTTGCATACCAACACTTAACTGCTTGCTGTTCGATATGTGCATGCATATGCATGTCATGTCGCATAAATCGAAAGAAATGTGCAACAAAAAAGGACGATAAACTTTCAACGAAAAAATAGCACACACACATACAAGCCCAGAAAGATACGCGACTACTTGAATAAGTAAATGAAAACAATTGAAATTGTAGAAAAGTTTTTCTTGACATTTCTATGCGGAGCAGCAGAGTTCCATGTCAAGGCGGCAGTCAGTAAAAGTAAAAAAAAGACGAATTTGTGACGAATTGCAAATAATATGAGAAAGAGACAAAAAGGCGACCGCATGTGGTGATGGTTAAGGGAGAGGAGGTGGTGAAGGTTTTCTTTTTTTTTTTTTGTATTGCATTGTGAAGGATGTGTTGTGGATTTGACATTAAAGAAACTAAACGATTTAATTTGGGGCACAATATCTCTGCATAATAAATAAAATTTAAATATCTTTTGGAGGTTGCAAAAATATTTAGAGGGGATTAAGAAGAATTGATCTTAGGATACGTAAAACATGATACAAACATCGACGTTATTTTGAGAATTTGGATCGATGGAAAATCGAAATTTTGAACAAGTAAACTTGTTTCTAAGATCAGCCGGACCAGCATTGTTGTACTCTCCAACATGAGGTCAGCATTCAAAATACATACAACATTACAAATTTAATTACCAGAATGCCGAATAACATTTCCTTGGAAATAGATCTTACAATCACTTAAATATCAAAAAATGGAGAGGCACCGCGGATAGAGGGCTATACCAAAATTAAAACCAATATATAATATTCAACAAAGAGTAGTAGCAATGTATGTACATAATTCCAACGGTCTATTTGTGATTGCAACAGTCATCAGCTGTGTAATATAGTAATTGCGGCATCGTTACTCCCTGATCATCCATCTTTCAACTTATGGTGTTAGCTTTGCTGTCCGCCATCTTTCTTTTTTGTCATTTTCTCAAAATTTCCGCTCTTAGGGTCTGCCCATCGGCTCCAGGAAAAGTTTCGTTATGTCCTTGATGTCTTCGACTCTGAGGTATTGAATTGATGTTGTGTGTTGATTTGGGGCTCATTTTTTACATGCTACCAAAGGAAGAAGTTAATATATGGTTAATAACAAGGTCTATTGTGATCATATTTTCAAAAGATAAAACGGTCCTTGTTTCGTTGCTTGTGTGACACGCATCGCAGCTTTATCGAAAGTAAAGCTAACCAGATCAATAAACAACATGAATCATCTCTCGATGCCACAATCTATACCTGTTGATCCATCCTAATTTTCATGATCACAATGGACGATAAACCGCAACAGACAATCGCACTTTGAGGATGGAGAGACTTCCTAATAATAATTTCCGAGCATCAAGTGCGACAATTCATTGTCTAAGATGATTTTACGATGGTATTCTGGAGCATATGCGAGAAGAAAACAGCCAACCCTTCAACTTCGATTGCTGTTTGAATTTATATTTTATTTTTGAACATTTTTTTAAGGTACTATTTAAGGGAATTTAAGCATTTCAAGTTTGAGATGCAATCCTGACGTCGTTTGATGCCGTCGTAAAAAAATCGCCTATATCTCTATGAGTTTTTGAGATTTTCACTTGAAATGTTAATGAAACATTATTGAATAGTTAAAGCTTCACCATTAAAAAAAAAATAATAAAAAATCGTGTTTTTTTTAATCGAAAATTGGAAGTCCCCTTAAACTAATCTAGCTTAACCTAATCTCAAACACATACTTTGATCATGTTTCTCTTGGTTCTAATTTGTAGAGAAACTGAACAAAAACTATCTCATCAGCATTGTATGTGGGATTTTAGACTCTTATCTTTAAAATACTGCAATGACCATATCTTAAAATCTGTTCAAAGCATTTTAGCAGTTTAGTTTATCCCCAAATTGGAGATGTTTAGGGGATTAAATATTCAATGAATTTTTGAATTTGTATCCCTAAATACGAGCTTTTTCAAAATGTATGAACAGTTTTCACAAGAAATATGCAGCAATTCAATTAAAAATCCGAAATATTGTTTTATTAACAAGTAAAAAAGTATCAGTCGATTATGCCGACAGATATATACCCTCACCCTATGGTTTGCGGAGGAGGTCTTCATAGTTATACACAGGGGTTATTATTCGTTTTATATAAGGTATATGTTTAAATAAAGATGTTTCGGATTTTATGTTGATCAAATATATAATATTGACCCTTTCTGTAGGATGTACCAGAGGGCAAGGTTGACGGTTCCCACCTTCAGACTTGATAAAGGTAATAGATAATTTGGTTCAAATCGGGCATTCCATTTGCCTTATTTTGGATTTATAAATATCGTAAATTTCGATCATTTTTGTTGGAGGTACCAGAAGGGGTGGACCAATGGATCCAAAATTCGAACTTGGTAATAAATATAATAGGTTGTGAAAAATTTGGCTCAAATCGGACGTTCCATTCGCCTGATATTGGATTCGTAAATATGTTATTGGATTCTTTATGGGAGAGGTACCAGAAGGCGTGGACCAATGAGTCCCTTTGTCAAACTTGATCTAGGCTTGGTTAAGATAATAGATCGTACAAAGTTTCGTTAAAATCGGAGAGTTCGTTTGCATGTTATTATAAAATTAATTTTTAGCACAATTTTGACAATTTTGTGGAGAAGGTACCAAGACCGATATTTCCCATCTTCGAACTAAAACTATGTTTGGAAGAAATATTAAGATGTGCAAAGTTTGAATGAAATCGATTATACCCTTTGAGAGTTATCGTGCACCCCAGCCAGCCAGCCCGACAGACAGACGGACAACGGATGGACATGTGTAAATCGATTCCATTTCCAAATTTTCTGAGACGGATTTGGTCCAAAGAAACATGGGGTCTAAAACCAATATTTCGATGCGACACATTTTTCACCGTATCATTAGCAATAAGTCTGAGGGTATAAAAAATAATTGTTCTGTTCCCGTACTCAAACTTTTGAAATTTATTGGACAGTTCCCGTACTACTCTACTACTTTTTACAACGACAATAAATTTCCTATATGATATCGAAAAAATTATAAACGGAAACATACTATATATAGGGAAAATCGAAATCAATTTCGATAAATCCGAGGACCTAGGTTCGAGCCCTAGCCGTGCTCGGCTGAAATTAATTTTTGTTATTTGAATTTTGCCTTGTAAGGGCAGTGATCATTTGAAAGTAATTTTATGTGATTATTTA